GTTGGTATGAATGAAGGAATGCCTTATGTTGTTGATTTCTTCATCTATGTAGTCCGTTGAACAGATTCTCGTGACTGTGTTTATGAGGTTTTTAAGTATATTGATTTTTTGTGTGGTTTCATGAGCGGAATTTCAGGGATGTAGAGGCGTGTGTGTGTGTGTGTTCTTGTGACGAATTTTGGTTTTAAACTGTGTGTCCGATCTAATAATGTTGAGGTTAAGAAAAGATAAATGTTTATTGTTTTCGTGTTCTATGGTAAATTTGATGTTGGGATGAATGGAGTTTATGTGTTCAAAGATGACAAAACCTTGTCGAAACGTTGTACATTTGCTGTTATGTTAAACTTATATCAAAGTTTTCTTCATTATCCATTCAAGCCGTCTCCAAGCATTATTATTCTCAAGACTAGTGTGTTGTAAAAGTTCACAGATAGGGATAACTAAGTGGCCTCTATAAGCGGAATCTGTTAATTGGTTAATCTGCTTTAAACCCATGGTCTGCATCTATACTGCTATTTGCTTGTGAATAGATCTTAAGAGTTTGAAAAATATGTTTGTCTATGTCTCAAGTGGAGAAAATATTAGCTTTAACCAGACAGAGGAGGGAACAGATAATCACTTGTGAATGATCACCATTAGATAACCAGACAGAGGAGGGAACAGATAATCATTTGTGAATGATCACCATTTGATACTGTCTTGAATCTCCATCGACTTACAGGTAGTAAAGAGTCAACTACCCTGTTAGGGAACAGATAATCACTTGTGAGTGATCACCATTAGATACTATCTTGAATCTCCATCGACTTACATGTTGCCTGTGGAAAGGATAACAAAAGACTACTAGAAAAACTAGGGAAGAGGGTAATTATAATATTATAAAGACTTACATGTTGCCTGTGGAAAGGATAACAAAAGAAAAGCTGTTTTAAAGAAACTGGAAACTGTTAAAGACTGTGAGTAATAGATAGAGGAAAGGAAATACATGCACAGCCTGGTAATGTTAGCAAGATACATCATCTGGTTTACCAGCATTTCCTTAAATAGTGCTTAGAAGAAGAATCTGATGTTACTTTGTGTTAAAACTTAGCATTGGACTGGATATCATGTATAGAGTTTTGATTTAAGGTCCCAAAGAGATCAAAAGTCAAATTAGTGTAAGTAACGTATATAAAATGTATTTTTTACATAGGGTATGATGATGTTTGGTACAGAATTGTATTTCAGATTTGAAAAATAACCAGTGTATCTATTAGTTGCCCCCCCCCCTCTTCAGTGGCTCAGCGGTACGTTTGTAGATTTACGACGCTAAAAATAGATGTCTCGATACCTGTGATGGGCAGAGCACAGATAATTCATTATATAGCTTTGCGCTTAATAACAACCAAACCAATATATTCTTTATGAATTGAAAGAGATAAAACGGTAAATCAAAGAGCGTAAAGTATCGTTAATATGACGATTTACTATACGTCTTGTTTGAAATTTTCTAAAATAACTAGAACTGTAAAATATGCAAGTTTTTGTTATGTCTTTCATAAATTCACGTATGAACAAAAACTAAACAATTTTAGGAATAACTTCGATGCCAAATGTTTTCTAAATTCACTTGAACAATCAAAATTGACACTGACATGATTTGGTGGTTAGGGCAGTTTACTCGCAATCTGAGAGTTCGAATCTCTTCCCGAAACATGTTTGCCCTTCGGCCGTGGGATCGTTATAATGTGACGGTCAATCCCACTATTAGTTAGTAAAAGAGTAATTCAAGAGTTGGGAGTGAGTGGTGTTGACTAGATCCCTTACCTCTAGTCTATCACTTTTGAATTGGGGAAGGCTAGCGCAGATAGCCCTCGAGTAACTTTGCGCGATGTTCAAAACAAACCAAAGAACCTTCGGTAAGTGGTGTTGACTAGCTGCCTCCTGTCTAGTGTGTCACTTCAAAATTAAAAACGGCTAGCGGAGTTATCCTTCAAACACCTTTGCGAGAAAATCAAAATAATGAGTGTTCTTAAGCACAGTTCTTACTTGTTTTCACGCTCCTACAGTGTTGTCATAGGTAAACATTTACTGATCTAAACACTTGGAAAAACACAAGGTTTTCAGACATTTAGAGATTATGCAGTTGTATTTATATAATCAGTGTCCAAACGTTTTGGAAGGAGTACGATTGATGTTGATGTGACCTTTGATCGTTATCTAGGACATCAGTTAAAATCAGCTACTAATTCAAGCGAATTGGTAAAAGAAGACCGATCAGAAAAATGACCAGATACTCCATTAACATAAGAATGGAGTTGTTTCGTAGCTCTAGAAGACAACAAAGCAGATATGGCACAGTTTCTTCCAATGAGGTCCTCCAAAAAGCAAACACATTGCC